TAATAATCTCTTGATCGGTCAGGATACCACTCGTGGCGACACCAAGATCAATCGCGACGTAGTCCTGAAAGGTCACATCTGTGGGAAGGACAGCATCGAAAGTCGGGCAGTCATCGTCGCTGGACTCGGCTGACACCTCCTCGATGCCATCGTCAGCTACAGCTGCATGTTGGGCCTCACAAAACCGCTGTGCTGAAGACAGTTGGCGATGACTTGCAGCGGAGTGTTTTTTCACACGTGGGCGATGATGTGCACTGCGCCGAGTAAGTCCACTTGATACAACTTTCCAGCTTCTGAGCATAGGATTATTCGCTCTAGCAGGTGCTTGCGGTAATTCGACTTCACGTAGTGAATGATACCCTGGTCCATCGGCTGAAGAGCAGACGTAGTGTTGGGCGGCAAAAAAACTACTTTGATGCTCTTCAGTTCGACTGTACAGTTATGGGCACTGCAGTTGTCAACAACCATAACTATCTTGCGGTCCTTCGACATGAAGTGCTGGTCCAACTGCTGCAGCCAGCCGCGAAAGTGTTCGATGTCAACCATGCCTTCCTGTTCGCTGTGTACTCGACAGGAAGGCTTTTGAAGTTCTTAAAACAACGTGGCTTAAGCGCCTTCCCGACGACAAGTAGTGGACATCAGCTTTATTTCCCAAAGAAGGGGTCTTGAGGGAAAGTCGGCTAGGTGCAAGGCGCAGAAGGCGCCTCTCGTGAGGATGCAGAGCTCGAGGCTGCACGCCGAAGACCATTTTGTAGCACCAAGTCATTTTGTAGTGAAACACTTTTTGAACACTCTATACTAATGTTCCTTGTGGCATAAACATAACACAAGGCACAACCGCATAGCATATGGTTCAAGGCTATACGTTCACTGTACAGTTCACGCACATGACCATTGTATACCACCAGCGCATGAAGAAGGTCGACGCACACGGATCGAAGTGCTTCATGCGCAGGTGCTAGAAGCTCGTCTGAAGCAAGCGTAAAGTGACCGACTGGCTGCACGTTGATATCTTATTTGTGAAGGGAAACTTCCATCTGCCTAGACATGTGTGCTTAGTGAGCTTGTTGTAAGAACATTAGACAGAGCGAACTCATCAGCAGCGACACTATGGTTACACTCTTTAATTTCATTGATCCCTGCTCGCAGCAGACATATCAAGTGCGGCCGCACGATGAATTTCAGTGTAGCCAGGACAAAAAGTCAAAGTGACCTTCTGTGCAGTGACAGTGCGCAGGCTGTGTGGCACTCTGGAAAGCAGTGAAATTAATTTCGAGTCTGGCTCTGCACCAGAGATCCCAGTTGATATATTGTCAGCCAAGTGGTGTGCATGCGCAAGAGAGAACATGAAGTTTGTTCTTAGAATGCAGTTGTCATTCAGTGTGCACACTTGTTCGGTTAGTTCGCACACAGTAACAAACGTGAGATGTTCCAAGAACTTTTCAGTGTTATCATTGCCTCTCTCGATGTAAAAGTTTGTGACTGCATCGAAATATTTTTGCAATAAAAAGAACAACCTCACACACGACCTAAGCATCAAAACAAAAAAAAAAAATACTTGGCGCAGTCCATTAGGTTGCGAGTCCTAAATGATGGAGGCGCAACCTATTTTTTAAGAGCAAAGCTGTATTGAGTAGAGCCTTTCATGTACGGGAGCCACCGTAGATTATAAGCGGGTATGTTTCCAAGAAAGTGTGGAAATCACACTACAATTATGTGCCCCTCCTCCCATTATTCGCACTTTTCAGAGATCCCGCTACTCACCATTAATGCTTACTACTGCTTCCGCAATCCTTACCACTTCATCCACACTCCTCTTCATTCACGCTTTATTTTACTTTATTCAAGCCCACTCCGTCCAGAGAGAGAAGATAGACAGAGAGAAAAGAAGAAAAAGGAAGGCAGGGAGGTAAGCAGATGCTAGGCTCTGGTATGCTACCCTGCACTGGTGTTGAGGAACAGTGGGTAAAAAAATAGAGATAAAAAAAAATAAGAACACAACACGGACACAAACTCGCAGACGCGAAATCGATCCATACAGAGTCGTTCAGATAGGCCAGTAGTTAAAAAGAAGCCCAGTAGCGCTAGCGAGGCCTTTTTCTGCAAAGATGAGTTTAGACGATCTCATCATATACTTTGCTCTGACACAAGCTGCCTCTGTGTGCTATATTCCACTCAGTCGCACAGGACGTGTGCGCAGTGTGCGCAGGCGGCAGTGTCGGTCATCCCTATGCGGAAGGCGTACAGACGGGTAAATGCGATGCCCAACCATAGTCTGCCCAGAACAGTTGCATCACCTTGTCGGAGTCTCAATGGAAGTCGTAAGCTTATTGTCGAATCAAGGATGCGTAATCTTGCATGCGTAAAATGAGACTCATTCTAATGCAACATGGCGCATCGGTGAGCAAAGATGCAGAGCTTCCCAGCCCTGTTGTTTCAAGAGAGGTAATGATAGGTTAAGGTCTACTGTGTGAGCTGAACTGGCAGCTGGATCGCCCCGTTTATTACTGATTATTTCACAGTGAATTGGCTTTGAAATATATTATAGTGCCCTTTCTCTGTCATGTGTTGCCGAATTCCTGCGGTCTCAAAAACCAACTGTTCGTGCGGACCGCGGCGTATACTTGACAGAAGTGACTGCAGTGCCACCTTACAGTCGCAGAACATCGTCCACCGCTGCATCCTCTTGTTGTTAATAATAAGCAGCGCAGCAACAGATGCTGAAAGCTATGCTGTCGTTGATGCTGTTGCATGATCTGTCCTCAATCTGATGGTTGTGGCACGGGTTGGAATCACGACTAGCGCTGTTGAGCTGCTCGGCAGGACGGAGCCGTCAGTGTTGACGTGGGTAGTCTTGCATGATACTTCTCGTACAGTAGAAGTAAGGCGAACTGCTTGAAAGAAGCGTAGAGGAAATGAAGGGAGGTTAACGAAACATTGGCTTAGTTGAACTGCATCCAAATCCCACTGCATTAAAGCAGCTATATTAATTTGCGAAACGACGGGTTCTTTGAAAGCTATTACAGTGTACGCCAAGCGAAGGTGGTTGAATTTTTCAACAGTGAAACGGCTCTTGGTCGAGGCTTTCATGTCTGAGGTTCCTTATAGATAAGAATATAAACGGGTAGGTGCCCCTCCTGACACCTCTCGTAACTCACTACTCCCACAACTCACCCCGACGCCAAATACTAATTCCACCACTCCTTACAATTCAGTCATCCACTCCGCGCCACGTCATTACCACTTGACTCAAACCCACTGCGAGGCACAAGCTTCACTTTCGCATCACTGTACGCTAAGCAAAGTTGAATAAAGTTTTTAGCGTACTAGCGCTAAAGAGCTCATTTTACGAAAATTCCAGCATCGGCGTGGTTGGTTCTGAGCGAAGGATCATCATGTTGTCAATTACCACGATATTCAAAAGATGAAAATAAAATAGGTTATAAAAAAAATCTGTTCCTAGTAAGAATTTAATCTAGGTAGTTGGCATGACAAGCAGGTGTTTTACCACAGAACCTCACGTCTTTTTTTTAATACATTACAGCCACGCGTCAGCTTGGTACTACAGTGAAAACTTTTTTCAGCTTGGAAACGTAGTGAAAGTAATTTTCTTGGTTCATGAACACGCATGTCCAGTCGACATACTTTACAGTAAAACTTGTAATATTGCAGTATTATTACAGTATTATTGCAGTAATATTGCGTGGTACAAGGGTACATGGCCATCCGGCGTCAGAAAGAGTGAACATCATAATCAATTCGTGGTTTAAAGCAGCCCGCCCACTACAAATTATACAGTCACTATAGCGCCTATTCTTTAAGGTCACGTAGTCAATACATAGCAAGTTCGAAAAGAATTCACGAGCACATTGTCTGTGGTTTAAAACATGCTGCATATTAATCATAACAAAGCCATATGATATAGCTTCACTGGCACAAGCCAATGTCAACTTTATCGATTACATTCTTGTAATCGATAATTTAAACTTCACGCACTAAGTGTTTGAAATGCACTATTCAGACAAATTATCACAATAAGTGATTGAAATGCACTCTAAGAACAAATTATCGTTATCGCGTTCAACTCGTAAGGTGAGGCTTAAGGATCCCCAATTTTTTCGAAAGCGAAGCTTTTTAGACTTGCACCCCACTATCGCCGTAGCCGCCGTCAAAGCTACCCGCGGCATCACCGTTCTTACCCCTCTCTTAATTGTCTTCCTCCATCTCTTTCATCGTCTCTGTCCAGTCCTATCAAAAAGTGAAACATGCGAAAACGTAGATTCGCCCATACTTTCCCGTGCATCTGTCGGTCCATGAATCCGTGCGTGCATGCGTCTGCTCGTCCGTCTATTCGTGCATTCATCCATGAATCTGTTCGTCCGTCCATGCATCTGTCTGCCACATCCTGATTTCCAAAGTGTGTTCAACGAGTGCCTGTGGCCACGAGATGGGGTCAGTCTGATTGGAACATGATGCATCTGTCTTCTTCCTTGCATGAGTGGACACGCTGAGCACGACGCTTAATGAGCAAAGCGCAAGTGCTGTAGAATACAAAGCTAAGTGGTACCGGCGTGACCGACGTCTGTTGGTGCATCCCGGGGGCCACTTGGCACCGTCAATATTATCTAATAAAGGTTTCATGATTGTTCAACTAGCTTCACTCTATCAGCAGCACTTAAATCACGGATCTGCCGGTTTGCCATGCTGCCCTGCTCCAACGCAACCGTAGCTAAAAGGATGGAACGCGATTACACAGTTCTCGCTAGAAGCTCATCACGTTGTAGCAGCAATGCTGGTTCCAGGTATGACCACAAAATAAATGTGAACATTTCACACAGAAATTGATCATAGGCTATATACAGGCGCGTGGTAAGGAAACGTAGGGTATGCCACGATTTCATGGCACAAGCGAAGCGTCGTGGTTTTCGTATAGTCTTCTGCTAACTACTTGGAAGTAGCCAAATGAGTAAGCAGCTCCTTAAAACGGACACACAACTGACCTTTGCTTTTGCGGGTATCTCGTGCACTTGAAACTCCTCGACGCTCTGCACGATCCCACCTTTATTGCGGAAGCCGGCCAATATGCGTGGGACGCCAATAGGTACCGAAACGGACCACCACTCCAGCAGCTTGTTCCTGCGCAAGGGGCAAGAAAGGCAGAATGTGAACCACTGCATTCGTTATTAGACAGACCTTGCATGCTGTGCAAGATGGTTCGAGCTTCTATATACAAAAGTTAGCTCAAAGATCCCACTGCCCCGTTCGTGGGCGAAGACAGTGCGAAGTGCATAACAGCGTTGATAAAAAAAACTACAAGAACAAGCGTAGCATTGAAACGCATGAGGGGCATTTGCGGTGGTTACCAAAGAAACACTGCATGCGACCACGTCAGCGCAGCCTCTTTGTTAACATTTTAACAATGCAGCTGCGTCAGCGCGATTCCTGCCATCTCTTTAACTCAACACCACCCCTTCCACAGGCATGCTCGTGGGTACTTGTCCCAAGTCGGGCAGGCTTATTTCATTCCACTAGCAGCAGGAAGATTCCCACTCTCGGATGCAGCAAGGGTGCACACGCTGCAATATTGGGCAGTTCGTTTCGCTTCCGTCAAACATTGCGCATAAATAAACAGTCAGCTTATCACTAGGAGCGCTAGCATCATGGTTGCAGCGTGGCTTTGAGTGTTGCGTCCTGAGTGGGGTGAAATTGAATGTGAGACACGGTAGCCATGTGACGATTCACTTTTTACTTCTGCGTTTGTGTGCATAGTCTAAAAGATGAGGGTGATAGACGAATGGGGCCCTCACTCGCATAGAAGCGTGAACACTGCTTCTTGTTAAGAGCAAATGCGGTGGGCGGAGCCGATCTCCGCCACGAACGTCTATCCATGAAGCATACTGATGCGTCGTCAACTCGGCTACAAAGCTGCTGATACTGAAAAGGCCTCAAGTTGACTCGTCACTGCCATGATGCTAGTTTGACTGTTAAACGTTTTTTGCAGGGAATGCTAAGTAGCAGCTTCTTTTGTATATAAAATAATTTGATCAGCATGCATTACCTGTGCAAGAAAGAAGCCTTAGAGGAGCTTGTGATCACCTAGTTTTAAAGGTGACAGTGTTTTTCGGGACACTTCAATTCAAAAGTTTTTGCTTGCCTGTTTTTTTGGTTGTCTGTCTGTCGCTCAAAATGATTCAACCACTAAGCCAAAGTTTAAGCAATCCCTCAACGCCCAGCCAGATTGATCTGGTTGCTGCATTCATACTTTCGTACATTGTCGATCAAGAATAAAATATTACGTATATCTGAGGCACAACATCCATACGTAAGTATTAGGTGGTACATTTCTTTTATAAGATAATGCATAGACACAATTCATAATGCATAGACGTCATTCTGAGGAACCTAGTGTTTCTTACACTGCGCTGAAAATTCGACGTTATGAAAGAAAAAGAGGGTGTTTCCTACTCTTCGCTGAGACAATACGCTGCTGCCACCTAGCAGTGGCTCTGTGTTTTACACAAGCTTTCATTTCCAGACAATACTACCAGATGACATCAGTATCTCAGGCAATGCCTCCAGACAGAAGACTATTATATTTCGACATTCGCTGCAAAGCACGCAGACATGCGACCAATAGGTGGATAGCAAAACGGCATGTCGTCTGCTATGGAGCTTCCGGTTCGAAGCCCATCTCTTCTGTGATTCAAGGTGCCTGCTGCGCAGTGTAATCGGGTTGGAATAACGTGCTATACTGTGACGCTTTTGCAGCCGCTTGTCAAATGATTGCGTTCTTCAATTTTATTCGCGAACAGATAGATGATATTTCACACATTTTAGGGAACAAAGCGAGACGTGGACATGGGAAAAACGAGGAACGTTGAGAGATGGGTTATGAGCACAGCGAGCGGATATGCTTTGAAACACGCAGTAATCTTTTGCAGAGTCACCCCGATTTAATATTTTCGAGCGCATACACTTACCGAGAACACTTTAATGTCACTCACACATATGTTCACATGCTGTCACATGGGAATATACGTACGATGTCTACCTATGTACCCGTAGTTTGCGCGATCAATTATGCGGATATAGTTTATTTTTGTTGTATAATCTACATTGCTAAATCTCTGTTAAAGTGATTGAAACAGGTGAGTGCGTAAAAATCCCACAGAACGAAATGGGCACTCAAATAATGGTATCGTGCGACGCGACACGATCGAAGTCGCCTTTGAAACAACGAGTAGCATGATATAGCGTCTCTGTTGTATGAGACTTGCAAGCGTGAAGTGCGGAGAGGTCATGTTATACTCTGATTCATAGCCTTAAAGGCTATATCTCGCACAACTGTACGCTGATTGTGGATAATTTTGCATGCATTAAAAGCATTGTTCGAGCCTGTGAGGGATGACACCTTATTTAAAGAGACATTCAGAGGCGTCAAAAAAGTCAGAGAACTAGGAGCATGTTTCATTTATAGCGTTCAAAACACATTAATAATGGTATTTTTGCAACCCAAAAGCTGATAAACCATTTTACGGGTACATGAGCAACGGGAAAACAAGTTAACGAATATTTCGCGATTTCATGATGCGCAGAAAATGTTTTCATGTGACAAAATATGCACGACATAACCTTCGCTGCAAAACAACAAGCATGTGTGCGGAGATGCAAGCCACTTCAATGAAAAAGTCACCTCTCACACGATTATAACTGTCTTGTAGTGAAAGCAATAGTCATTCGATTACGCTGCACAGCACTCCGAAGTCGTACGCAGCAATTTGTAAGAGAAGGGCATCATGAGTGCAAAGTGAAACACGCAAAAAAAAAAAAACGCCGCTACTGGCAAGAATGCCCGCATGGCATTACGGCGCCTCGAACCGGAAGCTGGTGCAGATCGGCTCTGTGGACCACAATCCATTGCCTGAGCCACGATTTTGCTATCCACCTATTCTTTGTGTCGGTCGTGTGTTCAATCGTCTCGGTTACCTTGAAGTTAAGAGCACACTAGCTCGGACCTAATATTAATGTCAATATCGAACAGATTTTTCCTCATTTGTATGGGTTTATTACGATGGCAACAATTGCCTCAAGTTAAAATATCAATGTTATGATTAGTATCTAGCTAATCATTGATTGATTGATATGCGGGGTTTAACATTCGAACACCACCATATTATTATGTGAGACACCGTAATGAATAGCTCCGAAAATTTTGACCACCTGGGTTTCTTAATTGTGCACCCAAATCTGAGCACACAGGCCTACTACATTTTCGCCTCCATCGAAAATGCAGCCGCTGCAAGCGAGATCCGACCCTGCGACCTGCGGGCCAGCAGCCGAGTGAATATTTTAGCCACTAGACCACCGCGGCGGGGCTAGTATCGAGGTCATCAAAATAATCCTAATGAGCTCATTCCTATAGGCATCGTAGTAGTGAGTAAGGTCTAACTTGCATTAATTAGCGGGCTCGTACCTATGTCACGTTGATTATTACGGACTTTGCACGGTCTTAGATTTACGTGACTTCATTAGCATTGTCTTAAAAGATAAGGTTTACTTACATCAGTCTCCACATGACATAGATTACTTAGCTTGGCCATCCTAACTAGCCAAGTATGCTGCCCAGCCAGTCAACGAATCAACCAGCCACAAGTGCTCGTGGAGCTGGTGGTTGATGAATAGGACGACAATGACACATGCCGGTCGAGCAGCGCGCCACCATGTACAGTGTCAAGTTTTATGAAAGGAAACACGACGACGCGTGGCCTGCGCGCTTCGGCGGGTGCTGGCAGCGCGTTCATGCAGGAACGAGAGCAAGCACAGTCTCCTTTCGTGTCATGTCGTGGTGAGCAAAACAACCATTCGCTGCTGATATGGTCGCAATCTTGTTGCTGATATGGTCGCAATGTTGCCGCTGGTTCCATATCAGCAACGAATGATTCTTTCGCTTGCCGCGAGATGACGCGAAAAGAGACTGTGGTTGCTCTCGCTTTCACTTGAACACGCTGCCTGCAGCCGCCGCAGTGCGCAGGCCACGCGCTCCCGTGTTCCCTTTAATAAAAAATGACACTGTACAAACTGATTATGACGATTATACATGTGGCCTCGAGGGTTCGGCTGTGGTCGCGATGTTTTAGGGCGCTCAGCCTGAACTATTATCAGGAGCCACCGTGTTGATTACTGTAAGCAATACTTAGAGCAGCCACGAAAAGTTTAAAAGTGAGCGGAAACAGCCCACGCCTTTAAGAAGATATCATCAGGAAAAGTTGCAGCATTTAGTGCATGAGTGCCCTTCAGCACTCCGTGGAAAGAAAAAAAAAGCAATGAAAGAAGATGCCTCTGCTTTGAGAAAACCACCATACCACGTCAACCGTCCTTGAAATAAAGTCGCGTTCCATCCTAACAGATCGTAACGCGTGCTAAGAGGTAGATTTTACTTTTTCGTACTGTCGGCTCTTTCAAAAAGGGTGTCCCCAGAGCTCAGCAGGATTCGGTTTCCCCAAGCTCAGAAAATTCTGCATGGCGACCCAGTAGCGATTGCCAGATGCCGCAGCCTTGCACTGCGGCATCTAACACTTTATTCAAAATATATTTTCCAAATTTTGTCCGAAAGATATTAGCAACATCAACGCTAGAAAACCAATGTGAAACCTGTTCGTAAAGTTATTCCGGTGTATTCTAGAAGTAATATATGTGAAACGTGCCCCAACTAAACATCTATAAAGATGGTGTCCTGCCTGAGCTTAGAAATGGCTGCTTATGTGAATAAGCTTAGGCTTGGTTTTTAAAACTTTCCTGAATGTTTGTTCTTTTCAGCGAAGTGATAGTGCTGCATTATAGCTGGCAGAAAGAAAGAAGTATAAACTGAAGGGCTTATTTGCTTCAGTTTATACTTCTTTCTTTCTGCCAGGTATTCGATACAATTGTAATGTAAATACGAAGAAAGTAAAGTGGACTAAAAGATAACTTGCCCCAGGCAGGTTATGCCAGTGGCAAGTTATCTTATCGCCTCAGCGATTCTGATTATCAATCTTACATAATGATGGCAGTGGCTGCGCGTCTGTTCAAGGAATAAAATAATGACTCCAGAGATGCCCACTCTGACTCATGAAAATAGCCCAGGAAAAAGAAAGTATGCCATCATTCCTTGAATTCACGGCGTCGCCGATAACTTGAAGAGAATAACCGGTACGCATTATGTCGATGTTGTTCTAGAAGTGAAGCATCTTATGGTTTAGTTCAATCCGGTGTCCAGCGTGACCACACTTACTGCGCTTCTTCGCATGGCAACGTCGGAAAACAGCGTCTGCAGGCTTCTGCTCGCTTTCCCTCACTCTCTTCTAGGAATTTCTCCCTGCATGATCATGCCCACATTGCGCAAATACACACTCGACCCCTCACTCTCCTCTCTAACGCTTCCACTTCTACCTCGCCTCGCAACGCCGAAGCAAGCAGCGTCTGATAGCGAATTTCTTGATAGAAAAAAAAAAAACGACTGATCGCGCTGCATTGCCACTCACTGGCCACCACGTATATATAGGCGCGGGATTTTGAATTCCAGAATGGTTTTGATGGAACATTTTTCTTGTGCATTATTTAAGAATAAAAAACACAAGGCCTGTGTGATAGGCGCAGCACAACCACAGCGAAAGCTAGAAGAGCGGCTTTTCAGAGCCTATTTAGAACACTCATTGGGTAACTACTGCAAGCACACTTGCTTGGTACCCACTAGGGCTATAATAATAAACTTTTGGGTAGTAGGCCGGCATTCGCTATGCTATTTTCAGTCATTCTTCTGAGAAGCGTGGCATCTGCTAAACAGTTGCAGGGAATATTGTGCCAATTGTTTATGCAGCAGCTGACTACGATGAGCAGTTATGGCTGAAGTAGGTATGTGCCACAGTTAATAGGGGCACAAGAACAAACTTTTGTGATGGTTTGGATAATCGCACGGCCCACTCGTTACGCTAATTTTTGCGATTTGGATGTTGTTTCGCTGTTGTAAAACGCTTTATAAGTCGTAATAACGCGATTGCTTTCCCGACATCAAGCCAGCCTAAAGCAAGTTTGACAAGGCACAAGCACTGGTGTAGCTCAGTGGTAGTGAACAGGTATATAAGGCACCGTTTGACGAATGAACTTCTGATGTAAGCCTGCGCTGTGGCATAAGTCCTTCTCTGTCTGGTCTTTTGTCCTTCGTGCTGTTTCAGTCCAATATGTCGTAACCAACACGCGGTTTTAAGGGCAGAGCTCCTTAGAGCGTAGGCTAGTCTCTGGTCTTCCATTGTAGCCATTCCTAGTACCTGGAGTGCCACTAGATGGCGCTGCGGTGCTTGCTTCACTCCGATGCATAAAAGAGGTGTGCTTTACGGCGATTTTCATTGAGAGAACAGGAGAAGAGGGGCAGGGCAGTGAGGAGTGGGGGGCAGAATACTGAGAGCAGGGCCACTCGATCTGCCCCTGGAATGCAGCACGCTCCCGGAGAGCAGGTGAGAGGGTGAAAAGCGGAAAACCATGTGATCGAAACATTCCAAGCTGCCGCATATTCTCTCTAGGGCAGCGACAAAATACCTGTGAAATTGGTTGGCCACATGTTCTTCATTCTCCTACTACCTAGTATGTTTGTGCAATGACGCATTTGGGAGGCATCCAGCTGTCATCGTCGCCACCCGTACAAGACAGTGAAACCATGGTTTGAAACTACGCATGGCTGCCACCATTGTCGCCGCACTCGCCGGCTGAAGAAAAACGCGGTTATTGTGTCGTTCCAGTGACACATGGCTCGTCGTACTGCACCTACTTCGCTTTTTACGTGAGAGCACTACAAACTGCTTCCGGCTGCCCTCGACGCAGCAAAAGCACTTTCGCTCTGCCAATGGATGACAGTGCTATTCCACCTGTTCAACCACTGAAACACGCCGGCTCTAAAGACAGCACTTTCAGTGTGCTTTTGAGTGCTTCTGCTCTCCCAATGGAGGAGGAGGAGGAGCAGGAGGAATAAATGAGGAAGGACAGGGAGGTTGGAATTCACCATTAGTGGTATGGAGATGGACGGATGGACAGACAAACAGAATGATGGGCAGACAGACAGACAGAAAGACAGACCAACCAATGTACAGACGTACAGACATACATAAAGGCAGAGAGTCAGACGGTAGAATGAACTCACCGACAGACAGGACGACCGACATAAAGACAGACAGGCAGAGAGATGGACGAACATATAAAGCATCACGTCTTTGATAACCAAGTAGTCAGAACCTATGGAGGATTCACCGTTTATTGATGTACCTCCGGGGCTTCGCCCACGCTTTGGTTTAAATTGTCTGTCTTACCCTCGGTTGGTATGACGCACATGACTCAGCTACTCGTCCAAAGTTTAGGCACTTGCTGAATGCCAGGTCATCTTGAATTGGTGGCTGCGTTGATACTAGCCATCACTGTTGATCAAAAACCAAAAATCACGCATATATGAGGCGCAACATCGAATCGTATGCATTAGGTGGTGTGTTCGTCGACTAGAAAATATCATCAGCATTATTATAACAGCCTCACTACGCCCACTGTAGGACAAAAGCCTCCCCATGTTTCGCCAATCAGCTTTGTTCTGTGCTTGCTGCTGTCAATTTATACCCACAAACTACTTAATCTGATCAGCTCACCTAACTTTTTGTCTCTTCTTCACCCGCAAGCCTCCTCTAGAAATTCAGTCTGTGATTCTTATTATTGGAACAATGGTGATTCTGTCTTCAAGCTATGTAGCCTACCCATGTCCATTTCTTTTTCTTAATTTAGGCTATGATATCTCTAACGCACACTTGTTTCCAGACTCACTCCGCCCTCTTCTTGTCCCTTAAGATTTCCTCTATCATTTACCATTCCATTGCTTGCTGTGTCGTTTTCAACTTAAATTGAACCCTCCTTGTAATCCTCCTGTAATATAAAAACTAATTTATAGACTACATGCTATGTAGATAAGCAATTCTGAAGACTCTAGTGTTCTTTAGGCGGCACTGAAAATGCGACGCTTTGCACGAAAAAAGGCAGGCAGACGACTATCGTCTTTCAGAGGCGTTTGCAGCAAACACGCAGATACGCGTCCAATTTTTTCAATCAAGAAACTCACTTTCGGACCATGCCTGCGTGAGCATGCCTTCCCTTCGCTGCCGTTTACTGCCACTCACTCTTTCTCGCTACACGGCGAGCATTTTTAGAAGCGAAGGTCCTTGGGCCATGGGTCTCTCCCTTTTCTGTTGTTGTTGTTCGGTGGCAACGGCAGCAGCAGCAGCAGTAGCATGCAACCACACCTCGTTATATTCAGGAATTGCTGACTAGATGACGTGTCTATTTGCCCTTGGAAATATTATCACTCGATGGCGTTAGTTGTTCCCGTATGGTTGACAGTTTCGTACAGTTGACGATTGTACTGATGGATGGCGAGACAGACAGGCGAATGAATCGACAGAAGAACAGACGAACATACGGACGCTTTGACCTCTTATCATCATTTCTCCATGGATACGTTGCGATTTATTTTGTTGATGACAAGCACAGTCGGCATAACATAGTTTCTTCGAAATTCTCATGATGATCGTAGTCGTCAATGGTCGCGAAAATATTAGTAGTGTGCGTACTAAATTACATTTGTATAAAGCAGTGGAGCACGTGGCTGTGCATGCTGCTATTTTCTGCAGCTGCGACCTGACGTTAACAACGGGCCTAAATTACAGCACAAGGACTTAGCGTCCGACACAACTTGTTAGGCATGACTAAAGCGTCGGCTCTTGATTATTTCAGCAGGAAACGGCAGCTAATCTGGCCCGTTGGGCGCTCTTGCCAAGTGCAATTTCCTTTGTACGTCACTGTTTAGGTGGATTCTGTACTATGAGAGTTAAGCTGTTGCTTTAGGTGTCATAATGTATACAGAACTCACCCAAACCTAATGTGCTGCCTATGTGTAGAAAGCACTTGGTTCGTCCGGAACACGACGTATCCTTGTGTGGAGCCCGGTTCGTATCTAGGGTCCACCGCCTTCATCGTGGCACTCATCACTAGCGCGTGAGACCCAAAGCAGTTGCGCACAACAACCTTGTACTCCTCCATCTCGTTCAGCACTGCTTGCACGTCAGGGGTGGTGCCGGGTTCGACTGCACAGCATGCGTGGGGCAATATGCGTGAATAACAGTGACAGTGGTGACGTAGGGCCAAGACGAGTCAGTGAATTCGCGCGTGAGGTGTATATGAGACAGGAGCACGCTTTATCCTTCTCTCTTCATGTTTACAATATATATCTTAGAAATTCTTTCTAAATTGTGCAGCAGTTTGTGTTATCTATGAATTCACCTATGTTAGTCGGAAATGACATTAGACATAGCCGCACTCCTAATGTAGATTCTTGGGGAGCTACCTTGTCAAAAGGCTTGGCGACAGAAAGCAAGCTTGTAGTAAGTAGAACCTCACTTATGAGTGTTATAAAAAGTACAGGAAATAAGCGTACGATCACAATACAGTTAATATAGAGGCTGACAAGGTATCATTGAGGTTCAGGGGTTACGAACATTTATTTCTAAAAAGAAATGAGGCAGAATTCTTGATTTTCAAACTTCTGGTATCGCACTGGCCTCTCTGCTTTCATCATGGCATATATGGTGCAAAATGACCATTTCCTTGTCCTGTCTGCACTTCAAATCATGGAGGTACACTTTTCCTCTTTGAACCCAGAAAATATCTTTGTCTACGCCCCTGAGCAGAGTTCAACCATCGATTCATGATAAATAAGTGCGACGAAATACAGAGACTAAACAGAAAGTAGGACCTGCTCTTTATGGTCTTCCAGTTCACGATTAATTTTTATATCAATCAATCAACAAGCCAGTTAATCAATATTGCCAGCTAGAGGGCAGAAGTGCTAGGCTAGGGTACCCTAGGAGATGGTGCCAGTGTTAGAGGACAGCATATATAAAACGAGGCTAAATCGCCGGTCATTAGAAATCGTGGACTCTACTCAAACAGAATCAGACCTGAGTGAGCAAGTACTGCTAGCTCTCTGCTTCTAGTAAGACCCGCAACTATTGACCGTCAACTGTCAAGTTTGGCAGAGTACTATTCAAACATATGACGAACAATACGGTTAACAAAAACAGAGATGGTAAATGCATCGACGTGTAGAATACTAGAAACAGAAAATCGGCAGTGTGAACACTCACAGCTGGCCATGTACTGCGGGAACTTCATGCCCCAGTAAGTGGTGCGGTCTTCACGAGAATCCATCATCTGGCGATAGCGATCCTCGCGCCATTTCTGCGTCATCATTTCCTGAAGGTGGACAGCGCCCCGGAAACGGCAAGCCATAAACTCCCAAGCACTCTCGCTGAATGGCGTCCTCAGAAGTTGCGCCACTGAAGAAGACCGACAGATCACAAAGTCCAGGAGTGGGCTGCACACACCGACACCACATTTAGGAAAGTCTAGCTTGTTTGACAACAATTGCAATGTTGGTAGAATTTTTATAGTCTCGTAAATCGCATTCACAGTAAGAAGCACAAGTTGTACATAAATTAACTCCTTTGCTAATGCAACAGTATCTATACTATTTCAGTAGTTGCTGTTCTGCAACTAAAAAGAAGGCAGTGACTACATTTATATTGTGATTCATACTATTGAATTCAGCTTATTTAGCGCGGTTCTTAATTGGAGCTGCCAAGCAAGGTAGCATGTTTAACGTTATTCCATGAAACAGGGCTAGCAAAGCAGTGACAAATAGAGCATGTTGTGGTACGTGAGTGTCAGCCAGTGCATGCGACTCAAAGTTACACCACTCAAGGTAGGCCTATTTACTGAGAATAAGACTCACGTGTTCACTATGCCAGCAGAAGTTTGCCCGGCTCGTTCCGACCTGGCCCAAACAAAATTGTTGCGAAAATGAACATGTTGATTTGATCAAGGTGTTTAGAGTGACAATAATCTATGTTTCATGTTCGAAGCTGCTAAAGCTCGACGTAAAATGTCGCGTGTGCGCAAACGCCTGTCTGCGCCATTGCTCATAAGGCGTTGCTTTTGAACTGCGCCCACAGACAGAGACAATACATGCAGCCACCACGCCAAGTTTGCCCAACGTGCAAGCCGAGTATGAACCGCAAAAGACGCCATTCAACAATGAAGCTGTATTAAGCTCGAGGTCAATCCAGTGGCATTCACACAAATCCGGGCGAATATGTGCATCAGGGATTGAGCAAGCCTGACAACCGATAACACAAGGTGCGAGGAAAAGTGAAGATAGTAGAGGCAGTGAACAGCAGCCCTTTAGTTGGCTGTTTCTTGGGGTAACCAGTCATCCCCATCCATGACAACTGACTTTATTCAAGCCAGATGTCTGGAACAGTAAATACATTACGATCTACGTTTTGGTTAGTGTCACTCCGGGTATGTGCTTGCACACAGCAACATTGTGATGACAGCTAAATAGAGCATTCACTGTGCAAGTGTAATTGTGCACAAAGTGTAATAAGAACTGCATGCGTATAGATTTGGGTTCCTGGCTTTGAAGCCCTGTTTGTGCTGTCACCACAAAAATAAAATAAAGCTCTCACGCATTTGCCTAAGACGACCCCAGCCTAAGTTGCACATCATATTCGATTGCACCGATCTACCTCGAGAAATGTTTCTGCATATAATGTGGTTATGCACTGCCACCAAGACTGGAGGCCGTAGAACCTTTATTCGAATGGTTTTGCAAGGTCTCCAGGATCGGCGTACCTTTGGCCAGCCGACGATGTCACCTGATTATCTAATCATGTAACGTCTCGTCATGTCCTGCTGAGGTCATACTAATGCGACAACTTTGAAGGCCTGTGATATCGACGCATGATTCTGATAATTTTTTTCGCACTGCCTGAGACACCCAAGACTTTGACCTAAATATATTTATCATACTACCTTCGTAACTGGCCCTTTAGATAGCGTTCGGAATACGAAACAATATTTGACCCATATCAAAACTTCAAAATATTAGTAAGATGCTGACTATAAAATAAGAAATATGATTGTACTTCCTCTAAGTCCTACACAACGTATACAACACGCAAACGAAATCTGATTTTCTGACTATTCCGAATGTCTTCGCATTTTCAGTTCTCTTCAAATGGCAGCTCCTTCAATGAAATTATTCATCGCCACCAAAGGGAATGATAAATGTTATGTTTGTGTCTTAAAAGAAAAATGAAAAAATAACTTCTGCCATCTAAAATGACTATTAATTTGCTTTTGACTTAGCCACATTTTATATTTAATTGGAGCGCCAGATGGCACCAATTTCATTGCAGTATGAATGGGAATGGAAACACAATAGTGACAGAGGCTGACATTGTTACGAAAGCGAGACGCCAACACGGTCCCAAAGGCGTCATTGCTCCGAATTCCACCGCCAAGGTCTCCAGCCGTTTGTTAGCATGTGTTACTCAGCTCGCGACTGCTTCGGCGCAGAGGTGATAGACGAGCGGACGAAACAACGGTGAGTTAAGGGAAGGTTTACGTACAGCACAGAAATAGAAGCGTTACAAATTCGGCACTGGGGCTGACAGCTTAGAGACTCAAAGAGCCGAGATGTCTTCTCTCGCATGCATCCGTCCGCCTCTCTCTCTGTTACGAAGCATATCCTCGACGAGGTCACAATGGGTGCCACGAAACTCGCTGCTGCCAAGGACACTGGGCACGCCGACTGCGAAAAGTGCTCGAAGAACGAGAGGCTTCTCTGAGACATAGGTCTACTGCCGGCGACATAGGCACCGGGTGGATCCTTTGAAGTCACCAACGTCCAACCAGAACCGCCGCTGGCCGTGATGTCAGAATCCCCTAATGGGGCCCATCGCTGGGCCGCGTCTTGCTCATCAAATCCGGAGCTGCTGCGCGTCGTTGCACCCAAGGACGAGTGACGTCACAACGCATTACGTAAGACTCGCCAGACTGGAAGGCGCCGATTGCTTCACCGGGCTCGTGGGCTGAGGGAGCTCTCTGTGCGTTGCGTGACAGACCGGCGCCGCCGCTTCGTGATGTCGCAGGGTTGATCGCATCAAGCGGACTCGACTGCTGGCCTTGACAGAGATTGCCTTTGCAGAGGCATTGAAGTTCGGTGTGGACTCGCAGGCGTAACAACACACATGCATTTCATCTTCGGTGCAGTTGGCTGCGGAAAATGCTCGCAACTGCCTTGAGCAGCTGCGTTTGCCAGTAGACCTACAGCCCCGGAGAGCGAGAGATTGAGGAATCTTTCATTTTTGAAAGCCAAGTCCAGTTCTGAGCTCTAGATTGAGGTTTTACTACCGTCCCTAGGAGGAATAGTATATAGTTAAGGAGCGTTAACCACGAGGAGGTTGTTTCAGCCAAATTCGTGACCCAGGCCGCCCATGTAAATATGTTAGAGCTGTGTTCCCGGATGTGTCCGCGGTTTCACTTCGCCTGGATTATAGACACCCGACATTGATATCAGAGGGCGCGACGAAGCTCTTTGGGCCACCTCAGCAGTGTTGGTACCAACCGCCAGGGATACTAAGAAAATGGAACGCTCGCTGAACACAGTGACACGCTGAAGTGTCAGTGTCCTTTTTGGCACGTTTTTAAAGAACGCTTCCTGGGCGCTTACATAATCAGCCGTGACCCCCTTGCTCACAACTAAAAAAGCAAATGATGTGCACATGCAAGTTCGGTTTTGCTGCGTCTGCTCGCTAGGCTACGCATCGGAAGACTCAGGTTTGCTACGTCTACTCGCTACACTGTGTGTTCTGGCGCTACCATCAGATCTCGTAAACTGCATTGCCGGGTGCCTATAGTGGCTCAATTGCTGTTGCAACGCCTGCTCTATTTTTTCAATACCAGCCAGATGCGTCTGATCAGACCATTCACCACCTTATCCTCCAGACCTGTCTTCCTCAAGCCCATGGCATTGCATTTGCGTGTACTTCGTGTTCATATGGAGAGAACCCTTTTTGTGGTGTCTAACACCGAAAATCAGATAAAGTAATCTTTTGTTCACTTGTGTAGAGATTCATAGGGTGGCGTTTTGCATTCCTCCTGATCATTATCTTCGCAATCCCACTGGCTCTAAAGCATTTTGTTTCGAGATATAGCGTGTCTGTTCCTGGCGCCAAGCGCGAAACCAACGGAGACTCGCCACTGTGACACTGCCGAATGCGTTCCCTTTAGAAGCTGCCATGTGGGCACTGTGACGCGATGTTGGCATCGCTTCGAGCATTAAGGGAACAGAGTGAGCACTAAAGCCATGCATTTTAGGCAAAGTTTATGTACCTTTCACTCGATACTCTTAAAAGTTACAGTAAATATTTTTCTATCATTGAGATCATAAGCCATTCCTCTTTTCATTGAAGCAGATTTGGCGGTGAAAATTGTAATGCTACTTTTTGTAAGTATATACTTCGGATACATAATTATCGCTCAATAAAAAAAATAGGTGTGTTTAAAAAGAGCGCTTCCTCACAACATAATAATTCTGCTTTACCATATAGCCTGTTACTATATGTAAATACTAGCCACATTTTGATTCTAGATATTGTGGCTGCTGAGATAATAGAACACGAACAAAAAAAGCATGTTTTCGAATAATTGCATATCAAGTTAAAAAGGACCTATAATTTAAAAGTAGCACGAGATGACAGCAAATTGACGGGCCTGTTCAATACGCACCAGCCAGATACACATCACCAATGTCATTTTTTTATGTTTATACGTCTTGCCTGGTGACCCTTCCTTATCACCTGCTGTGCAGACCTGTCAACTAATGACTGTTGACGCAGCTCAAGGGTGCCTAGGTCTCTCACCAGGCAGTGCCCTGGCAAAATTCCAAAAAAGTTCAGCGCATTCACAAAGGCTATACTGTCATCTTTAAAAGGGTGCACAGCATCAAGAGTGCATATTTTCATTTTTCAGTGTCCGAGAAAAACGTTTTTTTTTTTTTGAGTGTGCTACAACACAAAAATTTTATTGATTGATGGACATGTGGGATTTAACGCCCCCCAACACACACGAATATTCAAGGACTCATTAGGGTTTCTAGTTTTCCCATAGATACATTTAGCAAGTAATTCGGGATGAGCTAGTTCCGGATAATATAGTTTACCTGCCTTAATAACTGATGCGAGAAGGTGCTCTTTACGAACGAATCGTTCACCTTTAAACTGGGTTTTGTTTAAATCGCACCAACTTTCAGCTTCCTTCAAGCACAGGTCGTGGGATGAGTTGATATCAATGATTAATTTGTGGCGTTTAACGTCCCAAAACCAACATATGATTATGAGAGACGCCGTAGTGGAGGGCTCCGGAAATTTCGACCACCTGGGGTTCTTTAACGTGCACCCAAATCTGAGCACACGGGCCTACAACATTTCCGCCTTCATCGGAAATGCAGCCGCCACAGCCGGGATTTGA